TACTGTGTAATCGTTTTGATCTCGAGGAGAGATGATATGATGCATAAGATACTTATGACTTATAGTTAAAATAAAATAATAATCTTATCATAAATTCATATTAGTTCTCGCCAAATAACAAAAAACTAGATATTTTCATCAACAGACAGATAAAGTTCAAAGATACCAAATGCAATCTAATTTAGTATCTATGATTAAATACATTCGTACATAGAAAAAAGACCGATGCAATTATTGTTTTGTATCAATTGTAACCCATTAAATGAAGAATACTATTTTGTTATTACTAAGAACATTCATATATAGACAAGTTGGTAAAAATACAAAAGACCACCGCTATTGTAAATATACATTTATGACTCATTCAATGTATGAACCTTTTTTAAGTAAGTATTATCTACATATGTGCACACAAAAGAAACACAATTATTGTTTTGTACGACGCAATTATTGTTTTGTAACCCATTTAAAACGACTGTTTTGTTAAAAATGCCAATGAATTCTCTTAGCCTATTACCAGGAAAACGATAAGAACACAATGACGCATTTCACCACTAATGTGTAAACGCAGTCCACGTGGACTAATGCAAAATAGCCAATACTAGGCCAAACTCCGCCCCCAAAGGTGTGCGGTTCCGCTCTAGAACCTTTCGGCCCCATCGGCCATCTGTTCTACGAGCAATGTGCCGTGCCCACTGTCACTTAAGTTTGGCATTTCTTCGGGCTATGTCGGTGACGCTGGTTCTTCTGCGGATTTCTTCATTTCTGATTCGCACATGCACGGAAACTATGAGCATAGCCCTTTCCATTGCTCTTGACAGCTCTAATAAGCTTACACAATACTAGGCCCCATGCCAACCTTCCAGCTTCATCATCACATCAGTTCAATAGTACCTTACAGCCAAAGTGCATCTTATAACAATTCTAACAAGCCCAAACACGGCTAGGATATATTAATTAGGTACGCAGTTCCAGTGCCTACCTTCCAGCTCCATAATCATCATTAAATCAGTTCGATGATAACATTTCCAACATAATTATTTAAGATCATTGGTTTACAGTGCATTTTCATAGTTGCTGAACTACCTTGATTGTGATATCTATGCGAGTGTCAAGTTTCATCACCCATTTCTGATCTTCTTCACCAGTTCCACCTCATCAAATATTACTTTTTGACTGTAAATGCTTGAGTGCTCTATGAAAATATTAAAATTACTATATAGTTGCCTATAATATTTGAGGAGTTCCCTCGATTTCTCATGGATCCCATCATCAAAACTCGATTTTGAAAAGAATGGGACCAATCTGGAAGCATATCCTTTCAATCATAAAAAAAAATTTGCAAATCCGTCCATAAACGACGGAGTTCTGAGGTAACAAACATAAAAAAAAAAATAAAAAAAAAAAAAAAAATACAATCGAATTGAGAACCTCCTCCTTTTTTGAAGTCGGTTAAAAAGAAGTTAGTGTAAGTGCAAGTAACGGCATAAACTGCGTCACACTGCCCACAGGACGGTACTGTCTTAGTAAATTGATTTATGCATAAACTCGGTTTTGTCTTAATAATTAATACTTACACATATTCAAAGTTGAGACTTCGTACTACAGTTTTCCATGCTTTTACTTGACTTGACTATTTAAAAACGACGAAGAGAGAATATCTCTCATTCTTTATTGTTTTTAGTTGTAAGGAGTCCTTAAGAACTTCCAACTGAAAACGATATTGATGAGGACAATCTACACCGTACTAACAGCTTCTGTCAATAAAAACCATTCCCATGACTAAGAGACCAACAGATATGAAATCTGAACTTTTTAGGGTTAACTATTAGATCTCATATAAATGCTTTCACTTTGAGTCGCTATAATACTTTATTGTGACATATGTACGAGTATAAGGGAACAAGCCCCATAACTCCTCACAACATGAAACAGTTCTCCCGTCATCATTCCATAACAATACATCAACATACTGCATTAGCAACGCTAAGCCAACGCTCTTAATCGGGCGCAATCATATATTTCTTGATTAAGAGATCGTAAAAACGTCGTCCCACTCTGATATATGAGGTCTGAGCAGGAGAGGAGATTAGCGGACGGTTTGCGGATTCTGGAAGTGATGTACGATGATTGATACGGTTTCTGGACTGGTGCAAGGGATGGGTTATTAAGTTCATTGTTTACGGGCCGCGCTTCGAATGTGAATTTGTGGGAGCTCTAAGCTCCAAGACCGGGTTGGAGTTCCTAATGTTTGAATTGGATGTGATGGATAACTGGCTTCGTTTGGACAATAGATGAGTTTTTATGCAACAGCAACTATATAATTGACAAAGCAGTTTTATCTAAGACTATGTACTATATGTTGATAAAGTAAAATAGCCTATGTCCCATCCCGGAGTGTATCATATGCCTGTGCCAAATATTTTGGCGTGATAGAGTAACAAACATCCAAACATAACTTTCGCATTTATAATATTAGTAAGATTAGTAAAAAGTAAGATTCTATTATCGTCATTTATTTCAACCGAGACTTATTAATTACGAGAAAAAACAAAATCTGGAATCCTAAACTACAAACTACACATTTACATAGCCAATCTTGAAACCCAAACTCATCATCAAAGTTTTTTTTATGTAATAGACTGGCAAACGAGCAGAAGGGTTACCTGATGGTAAGCAATCAGCGCCACCCAGGGACACCCGTAACAGAGGAGTTACGAGTTGCCGACCGCCGGATTAGGGAATTTGGAGATTTAGGGATTGGGGAAGAGGAAGGATTGGGCCTCCGGTAACCTCACTCACACGGTGAAACACAACGCTGTGGTTGTTTCACGCCGGTTTTCTATGAGGCCGTGGTATCACTCCAGTCGAGCCGACCCATTCGTACCGAAGCATGGCTCTCCCACACATCATGTAGTTCAGGGATACGTATTCCATCAAAACATCTAAGATAGCACTACATTTTAAAGGCGCAAAATTTTCTGAAACTTGTCAGCCACTAACATCAAGTTTGGAGATAAACAAATATGACTTAGGAGGAGACAGGACGGCGCAGTGGTCGTTCACAGCTAATAAAACAGATAAGAGAGATAATTTACATTTCAACGATAAAGTATCTTTGCAACAGCCAGCCGAAATGAGCCATCCCACCGAGTACTACAATTTACAGATCTTTTTTGAGAGTCCAAGGTGTGAGCAGTCGCTGTCTCCAATTTCTAATTAATGAGATATTATTATATTCATGGTACTTATATTCAAATCATAGCAATTGTAATAATCTATTCTAATACTAGTTTTTGCCCGCGACTTCGTTCGCGTGGAATAACGCGTAGCGTAACTACTAAAAACAAAACTATCCTATAGGATAGTTTTATAGATTGATGTCCTTTCTCGAGTTTCAAACTATGTCTGTACCAAATTTCACAGAAATCGGTTCAGAAAGACAGAGAATAATAGTTTGGATTAGTTTGGATTATAAAGCTAGAGAGTTTGTTAGTTCATTTGAACACGCTAATCTCCAGAAGTACTGGATCGAATTGTTTTTTTTTTTTTTTTGTTGGTACATTTATTGAGGAAGGCTTTAGGCTATAAAACATCACGCTACGATTTGTAGGAGCCGAGCAGTGAATTAAACCGCACGACAAAAGGTAGTATAATAATAATATAACAGTATTGGAGTGATTTAGCAATAATGAACCCGGGCTAGGCCTGGGTCAGATGAAGAAACAGGGTGGTTTTAATCAGTGAGACTCTCGCCTCGCCCAGGCTGCGAATGCTGCAATAAATCATACGACCATTTTTCCACCTTAAACAAAAGGTAACAATGATTCACACCATTATAAATGTGCCGGCGGGTTGCGGGGTAAGCGCAATGAGGCACCACGACCTCGGCCCAGAGCAGGAGAAGGAACAGGGAGGTTTTTTGTCAGTAAGAGCCTGATACTCCTTCCCGCCCGGCCCTGGGCGGGAGAAGTCATTCGATGATTTTCCTCTCACATAAAAAACCATTATAAATGTCCAAATTCCAAATCCAAGAACAATAGTAGCTAATAATCATCACAAATATATACGTCCACTACTGCATATAAGCCTCTTTGCTCAATGAATTCTAGAACCGTAATTTAGAGCAGCATTTATTCAAGAAATAAATAATAAATTCACAAATGATTCGCTGCTATTGTCAGATTTATACGAATTCACAATTTCTTTGTAAATAAGGCATAGAGGCTCGGGTAATTGACCTGTCATGGCGGAATACGTACCTACGTTTCTAAAACAATATTATTGCGAATCCGTATTACCTAGTAATATGTGTATAGGAATTTTCTAAGAATCTGTATGAAATTTTCTTTTAGGTAAATAAAAGAACTTCATGCTTTTGTCTTTGTCGTATAATGTTGCTAAACTTGATTTTATTTGTCCTCATACACAGCACTTTTTTTTAATACCGTCGCCGCTGATATTTGTCGTTTATTTTTTTTGTGAGGGGTAAATCAGAACGCTACGCGCCGTACGCTCGGGCCTGGTTCTGGTCGGGCGGCGAGCTGCCCTTACTCGCCGACGGCAGACCCACGCGTTGAAAAGAACTTTAGGTATGTATAACGAAACTACTTACCGTTTTAAACATGCTAAAATACACAGTTCTCACATTTACACAAGGTACACAAGGTTCTCAATATTGAGTGTTTTTTCTTCTGTAACTCGCTCCAGCTTGTAACCCGCGCCACGCAGCTAGTTACAATATTTCACAGCAAACGGACATTTTTATAGGTATTTAGCGAAAACGTCGTTCTAGCGGACCAATTTGCAACTTGTTTGCGTTGCCTATAAATTGTCGCCAACATTTCCTAAATTACGTTGTTAGTCCGTGACATATTGCAGTGGAAGGTGCGGCTCTACCAATATGGCGGCGGTTATGATTACCAGTACTGTACTACCCTATTGTTTATGAACATCATATCATGACTAACTAAGTGTGGGAGAGCCATGCTTCGGCACGAATGGGTCGGCTCGACCGGAGTGATACCACGGCCTCACAGAAAACCGGCGTGCAACAACCACAGCGTTGTGTTTTGCCGTGTGAGTGAGGTTACCGGAGGCCCAATCCTTCCCCACCCCCAATCCCTCCTCAATCCTTAAATCTCCAAATCCTTAATCCCTAAAAGGTACTAAACGTACTCGTAACTCCTCCGTTGCGGGTGTTCATGCGCGGCGCTGATTACTTACCATCAGGTAATCCGTCTGCTCGTTTGCCGATCTATATTACATAAAAAAAATGAGTTCCTGATACTCTTCATCGTCAACATCATCAGGGTATCAACATTCAGTAGCTGTTTTATCGAGTCTGCAATGTGTATAGTCATGAGTTCGAAAAACGTGAAGAGTCTTGTAACAGCTTTTGGTTCCTGATACTCTTCATCGTCCACATCATCAGGGTGTCCACATCCAGAAGCTGTTGTTTCGAGCCTGCAATGTGTATAGTCATGGGTTCGAAAAAATTCTAGTGTCAGTAACAGCCTTCTTATGGATGTTATGGTATGTTATGGTATGTTATGGATGTTATGTTTCAACTATTTTTTCTTTAATGGATACATAAATGAGGTATTCTATTCTATTATGTGGTCGTTATAATTTGTTTATGTCAAATTTATCAGAAACACTTTCTATGGTCTCTTTGTGTTACAAACCATATTGGAATAGATTTTTTTTTCGAAAATGGGAAATCATTATATTACTTTTCCCTTCCTATGAGGGGCGAGTGAGAGGGCCAAAATCTTATTGACTAAAAACTATCCCGTTTCTTTTCCTTCTCTCGGCCGCCGCGCTTACATCTACATCCCTAACAGATTTTTGGAATTATTTTCACTTTTATTCAATTATTGTCTGGCAAATAATACTCATTCGTTAATTAGGTACATAAAAACATATACATAGAAAAAAAACACTGCTATTATTTAACACTTGCATTTACCACCCTCTTAATAATCTTAAAATGAATATAGAGCGAAATTCGCCTTCAAAAAATTTAAAATTTCTTCTTCGATTCCCCACGGACGCTGTTATGAACTCATCCCCTTCAAACGCGGCACACTTACATACAACACGATACCTCTCAAAGGGCCTTCAATATGACGAAAAAAAAAACTATTTTATACATCAAAAATAATGTAAAAGAATAAACACATAGTCATGACGAAGTGACACATTCGAATAACAAAAACCACCTTCTGAAAAACTATAAGCCGAACCAATTTCGACCTTATAAGCTCTGTACTTAAAATGCAGGTGCTTTAAATCAAGAGCAATACATAAGGTATATTTTGACGTCAAAACGAATATCGAGGACGATATTTGATTGAATTTGATTTGAATTTATTACCGTTCCTTTGACATGCTGTTTGTTGTTAAAAGTATTCCAATATGTAAAGGTTTTACAGGGAATATTGATGTGTTGGTGGATTTAAGTGAACTTTGATATTGATCTGAAGATGGTATCTTTAATGTGACAGGACAGCAAACGAGCAGTTCGGTTACCTCATGGTAAGCAATCAGGGCCGCCCATGGACACCCGCAACAACGGAGGGGTTATGAGTGCGTTGCCGACGTTTGGGGATTAGGGTTTTGAGGATGCATGCATGTATAGTTTTCAACACCACAATAATAAAAAATTGGTACAAAATACAATAGTTAAAAATACAAAAACATCGATTACAACAGAAGGTAATAAGAAAAGAAAAAAATACTTGGCTTTTATTGTTTCTTAATGATATTAGAACAAGCGATTCTATATGTGTAGCGATCTGATACAAGCCAGCGTGTCTCGCGGGGTAAAATAGAAATATTAAGATAAATTTATCTGCATCCCTAATATTTTTATAAATAAACAATCTTTGTCTTTTTACCCTATTCCCCAAAACTCAAATTCCTTACTCCCAGCTAGGCTAGACTGGCAACACACTGGTAACTTCACTGTCCATAAGCAGTGATGGCTTACCATCAGGTTATCCGCCTACTCGCTTGCCGAAAAAAGACATGAATAATGATTTTCAGCTTGTAACCATATTGGCTGGTTCACTTCCCGCGTTCTCATGGGTCCTTCGCTGTTTGACACCATGAATTTTTGACACCACGGTGTCAATCGCAGAAGAACGTTTTTTGAATTGGCTGTTTGGGACCACGGTGTCAATCGACGAATACCTTATTTGGCTTCGTTGTTTGACACCATGATGTAAAACAGCAAAGGACGGCCCATTGGCATTTTTATTATAACATAACAATCATGCACAAAAGTGTTTACACGATTATTATTTAAATAGAAAAAAAAAGAAACAAACAAGATTAAACAAGATTTATTCATACAAGATTCCATTAAAAATTTGATTGTAATTTTTGTTTTAATAACCGTTTTCTTTTCGCCAGTACACAAATCACAGTTGACCTTTAAATTGTTGAAAGTGGTCCAAATCAACAGTTTTATACCATGGTGTCAATCGACGAAAACAAAATAAGATATTCGCCGTTTGACACCACGGTCGCAAATTATTATGGAAATGGTCCTAAACAGCTAATTCAAAAAACGTTCTTCTGCGATTGACACCGTGGTGTCAAAAATTCATGGTGTCAAACAGCGAAGGACCCGTTCTCAGGGTTCTGGTAAGCATATCATCTTAACAGCTTCAATAAAAGTCACATGAGTTTTTATGAAGCGTACCGCTAGCGTGACACGTTAAGAGCTAAGCGCCGAAGTATCGAGTACCCCTAGACGTCCCAGGCGACCTAATAACACGATATTGCCAAAAAATATGATGACAGCATCGATGCGAGACCGCCAAACTGGGAATACCTTGAGAGTTCACGGTTTTTCTACTTAAAGGTAAATGTTTATGAAATGTTTTTGAGGGCGTGTTGTGATGGGATGCGGTGTTGTAAACAACATGAAACTCTTGTCTGTTTCTAGGAATATCATATGGAGAACTTTTAATTCAAATCAAGATAACAGTGTAATAGCCAACAGAAGTAAAAGATATTTCAAAAGCGAAAACATGCAGAAAATTAGTGGTGCTAATGCTAAGTACTTTAAACATTTGATACAAGAAGTCTTTCAAACATTGCAAACCCTCATTTCACTCATCCATCCCTCTTGGTAACACAGGACCAGAGCAATGGTCATTAAAAACATTAAAGGGTAAAAACGCCCACAATACCCTTTTCACAACAAAAAAAAAGTGTTTCAACAACAAAAAACATGTTTCCACCACCCGCCGACAGACGGCGCTGCGGAAGACTTTACTACTTCCGGTGACAAGATGGCCGAGCGTTCAGAGCAGCCGGAAACTGCGGCGAGAGAGCCCAAAAACACGATAACACTGCCGTGGAAGAACGTCGACACTACTATCATTCTTCGACTGAAAACATACCTTACAGCCAAACACTCAAAGCTTATTTTAATTTGAATGTGTTTTCTACTTATGGCGTTTTGTAGTAAGAAAGGAAAGCAATAAGTAAGAGCGTTGCCGTCAAGTGCGATCGCTTATTTCCCGCATTGAATATGATGTAAGTTTTCCTGAGTGGCGATAACATGTAATGGTATCGTTTGCCCTTTCATGGGAAGTAGGCTTTTGTTACATCATGGACGTTCGCTGGTGACTAACTTGAATGTCTGTGTAATGCAGCTTTGAATCAAGGTGAAGAAGAAAGATTTTTAAAAGACAGTTTCTCATTTAGAGAGAATAAAAGTCACATTTTGTCTAACATCCGCGTCATCTTATATTTCTTATTATTTGTTTAACGTTTCAGTCGTGGTAATTCGAACACAATAGAAGAACAATAGGTGCGCGAACGCCGGCGTTCGTTTGGGTTAAATTAAAGGGTGTTTTTAGGTGACAGCGCATGTGAGTCCCATCGTATGCTCAACATGGTTTGGTGCATAACAAGATATTGGTCAACAATTGATCGGCATAGAATAATATTATACACTCCCATTCTGTTCAAATTCAGAGACCTTATTAAATCAATTTTAACGCGTCATCTTCTGAATATCTCCTTAGATTTTCGATCCGCTGAGTTAATATTGCTATATGAAAAAACTTAATAATACTTTGCTCATATAGCCACTTAGAACATAATATCAAAGCCAACTAGACATGTGATAACTGTTTTAGGTTATCCATTAGCTGAGTCAAAAATAATTTATTTTTTATAATTATTTTGTTCTTTATTTCGTAATGTCTAAAGATTTTTATTTTAGCAAATTGAAATACACTTTACGAGACCTGAAGAAATTGGTCGATAATGACATCGAGTTACAGGTACTAGATTTTATGTCCTTATTGTTACTCTACAACGATAACTCTGTAGTCTCGTTTATTAAAAGCTTTAGTTTAACTTGCATTGTACATATATTATGTTGTTGAAGTTGCTTTTGCTACTAAACTTTGTAGCACTTATCCTCAACCAATTGAATTGAAAGTATCATCTGGCTTCTTACTTACTATTACACAGAGACAGTTATGGAAGGTTTTCTTTCTAATCCACAAACAAGTCCTTATAATCATCTCTGTACCACTGTTTAAAAATCTATATTAACTAAGTTCGTAGCAGAATCTAAAGAACTCTTTTCTTTTCGTTAGTTATTTTCTTTTTTTTTTAACAAAAACGTTGCCCCACACTAGGACTTTCTCCTATGTCGTATATGCGTTTCCAAACATATAATTTCACATACACATCACACCCAGACCCGGTACAACAATTTGTGGATCACACAAAGAGTGTTCCATGCGAGAATCGAATCAGCGACACGTTGCGCGGTAGCCAGTCGCCCACCAACGCGCCAACCGTGCAGTCTGACAACCAGATTGAAATTTTCGTCTGTTCTTACACGAAGGTCACCAAAGCCCACGACCCAACTCTATTTGAGGCCGTTCACCGGTTATCTGGAGTTCTCGGCCGGTACATGGTGATATACAATCAACTCATAGAATGCTGCCACCAGAACCTGCAAGTCCAGAAGACTGTATTCATCGATAATATCATCAAAGCTCTTGTTTCTAGGTAACTGGATATTAATTTCGAATCTATTTGATGCTAGATAGTAAGATTATGTTATGAGGTGAAACAACATTCGTTTCATCAAAGACTTACTTAATTACTGTACTTTAATTACAGTAAAGAATAATTTATCCGTGAGTTAAAAGAAAGATAAAGTTAAAATTAAAGCACTGTTTTATGAAAGATGCTGGGAAAACTACTATCATATCTGACTATTTAAGCATACCATATTATCTTTTAGGATACTGGAACTGAGGGCTGGATTAGAAAAATTGGAAGGAAGTCGATTTCAATTCATTGGACATGGGTTGACCGAAGTTCATCATACGATATTTGATATTGACATGACAGCGATACCTTTGGAAGAAGGCAGACCAAAGCACATACAGAAAGAATTTGATAAAATACTAGCTAAAGTAAAGGAAATTAAAGAATACGTTGAAGAAGAGGGTAAGATTCAAAAAAGCGATAACATCACAATCCTTCTTCTTCCACAGAACTTCAATAAAAGAAGAAATTGATAATCGACCCTAGGAATAAATTTGTGTTATTGTGATTTGTGACATAATTTGTATATTTGTGACATTTACATTCACACAATAAGAACCGAATAAACTTAATGTGATACTGATAATTTGTAAAATTTTGTTAAGGAACAACGCTTTGTGTAATCCACAAATTGTGTATGTTTGTATTGTAAATGCAGAAGTAGAAGAAGAAGAAATCGAAGGGCCAAAGTATACGTTTGAAGAATTGTGGGGAATAAAACTAGAAGATGATGAGCCTGTGTTTAAAGCGAAAGAAGTGGATCTGAGTATACCGGAAGAATTGCGCAAAACAAGGGAATATCTAGCTCTGATACTTGCACATGAGAAAACCAGGTACTAATGGTATAACGTATTTGAATACACATTGAGGCAATTAACTTATTTTTGGGTGAAAAACTTATTAACTTTCATTTTGCCTAATTTTGAAATTTAAACACTTCGTGGGGCTTATTTGTTCGTAATAAATAGTAATAACTAGAAATCTGGAACAACGCCTGATGAATGGCACAAGGTTTATAGAGGACAAACCATTTCAAGGGAATCGTGAAATGACTGAAAAAGATGTACATTATAATTATGCAAATTATGTACACATTTAGAAATGAATTACTTTCATTTAAAACTATTACAAAGGATCATGAAATTTTACAGACAAGTAATGAAAATGATGAAAAAGAGACAACTTAGAAGAGAAACGTGGGTAAAGGAATTGACCGGGACCTTGCAGCCACCGGCCAGATACGAGATTAGAGAAAGAAGTTCAAAACTCATTTCTAAAGTATTCAGGTTTGCGAGATATACAAGTACAAGTTTCTACTGTGATTAATTTTTAACAACGTCAAATAAAATGAGGGTTTATGTATTCCAACAAAATACTAGAGTATTTTATAAAATCAGGAAAAATAATTAACTCGTGTTTTAAAACAACAACAACAACGATTTTTTGTACAGAGCATACTTCGAGTTGAAACGACGGCGAATTAAAGATTGCAAAAGAGATCAATTATTGGGAATTAATATTTGTGAATCGCAGAAATTTTATATACAAAGAAATAATGCTGATAAAGTAAGTGCACGAGACAATCTGCTTTCACTAAAAACATGAAATAAGAACTTAAAAGATTACAAATCTACTCTTGCAAATTCGAACTTATCCAAACTAATATTATAAATTCGAAAGTAACTCTGTCTGCCTGTCTGTCTTTTCTTCACGCCTAAACTACAGAACCTATTTGTGTGAAATTTGGTACACACATAGTTTGGAACTCGAGAAAGGACATAGGATAGTTTTTAAACCAAAAATCTGCAGAAAGTCACTATTGGACGCGAAAAAAATCGCGGGCAAAAGCTAGTACAAATAATTCTAACAATTGTTCTGTATTTTGTCTAGATGCTTCATGATCGCTCCAAACTACGTGGCATATATGAGAAAGAATGGATAAAACAACGTAATAAGATAAAGGAAAATATTTTGAAATATAAGCAAGCAAAAATCTGTGATGAACTAAGGGACCAAATAAGGGAGTGGTTCCTTCAATGGTAAATAATAATATAATACTTTACTATTAACATTAACAGAAGCAAGTGACGAAAATATCGTATATTACAATTATTATTTATATACTATCCTTATATTCCGGTAATATTATATACAAATATCATGCCAGAAAATACTAGATTAGAACTACTAAAATTGTGTAATTACTAACTTCCAAGATGGAAGTTGCCAAGGTGATATTCCTGACTTGTTAAAATGTCAGTGTTCCAAATTCAGATCAGTTCAGTAACAAGTAGTAACAAGCTTACAAATGACCTAAAATTTTCTCGCATTTATAAAAATAGTAAGAAATGTAATTTTATGAGGGACATTTCGTTTTAATTCTAGGTTTGATGCAGTTCAATTTTTCTACAATATTCCCAAAGAAGGATCTATTGCAATCTTCAAGGGTGATGTTCCTAGTCCTCAAGATTGGTATGAAGAGAATGAAACGCGACTGCAAAAAATTGCTGCAGACAAAAAGAAAAATACTCAAGATGTAAGAAATGTTATGAATCAATTCATGTAACTTATATACGTTTTGAGCCGGTATAATTTATATAGTAGTAATTATGGTATTACAAATAAATTAGTTATGGCGAAACTTTTGTGTACAGATGAAATTCGAGACAAAAAGACAAGAGGCTTTTCTGAAAAGAGAAGAATTAATAAAGAAAAGATCTGAAGCACTTCTGTTAAAGAAAATGATGAAGAATCCTTTAACGCATCCAGGATATAACTTTCCGATTTCGAAAACAATTCAGAAACTTAAAGATGTTTGTAAATGTTTTAATTTCTTCAGGAGTAGATAGATAGAGAGATATTTCTGTGTGGAAAATATTTGTATTTGATAATATTTGTATCTATCATTAGATATTTGAAAAGATCAACTTTCATGCGCAGGTTATAGATTACTACCACCAATCATGGGACATCTACGATATGTGGGAAACTAAGGAGGTAAAAGAAAAATTCGTTCATGAAGTGGATGTGAGCAACGCTATTATAGAAGTGTCCCTTGAAGTTATGCCAAAGGTGGATGAAGATATGAGGTAAGTAAGTAAAGAGTCTTACAAAACAGAACCGAATTAAAATTTGTATGAGATGATAAAATTACCAAAGGAAACTTTCCATTTAATTCTAGGAAAGAACTAACCCAACTAAAGAAAGCTTTAATAGAAGATTACAAAACCCTCGAAAGGGAAATGCCAATAGATGTGACCAAACCGATAATCAAAAGGGACAAAAAGAAGAAGATAGCTCGTATTAAATTGAATAGTAAAGTTAAGAAGATGATCGAGGTAAACTTGTTTGAACAAGTGTAGTTCCTATTTAACGAATAATATACTCTTAATCTTACCTGAGTATGTTGAAAAAGTCCACTGAAAAACTGATGCTGTCTTTGATAAACCTGAACCTTACTTACTTGCCAACCGAAGAGATTTTACCAAACTCTCTTTTCGTAGTGCTCTTGTCACAGCTAATGTTATAATGTGACTGAACATGACTTTTTTAAACGAAATGTTTCAAGGATAAACTGTATCTATTTTCCAATATTTTCCAGTTAGTACATTGCAAGTCTGCATACGATCGGTAAGATCACCTGATGGTAAAAAAGCGACGCCGCCCTTTGACACTCGCTACATGGACAACTGGCGAGTGTGTTGCCAACCTTTTGGGATTCAGGGTTTTGAAGCCTACCTAGACTAAGCTTCACTGACGAAATGACTGACAGACTATATTCTATTTTGACGTTTCGAAAGAACTTGTTGAAGGTTTAGTTGGAGTTAATGAATGGAGTTTTGATTTTATGGAATGGGGGATTGGGATTGGGTCAGGGGACGAATTTAGCCTCCGGTAACCTCACTTATACAGCAACTTACAACGCACGTGTGTCACGCCGGTTTTCTGTGAGGCCGTGATATCATTCTGGTTGAATCTTCCCATTTAAGCTGAAGCACGGCTCTTTTTTACAGGATCTAGCTTTACAAGATGTCATTGTAGATTATCCTAGAGTGAAACTAGAAGACTTTATTGGGGATCCTAACTTCGCTGGTGAGGATCTAAGGCGACAAATTGTGTAAGTAACATTTTGAATAGAAAAATATATTGTGTTGTATTTTGGACGTGTTTTGGTATCTATATCTTTTCTATCTTGCGAAATATACGGTATGAATCATACTGGGGCTGCAACAACGTATCTATAGATTTTCTATACAACCATTTGTCACCAGTGACTAACGCTCCTTTATTGCTTTAGGCCAACATTTCCATTCAATTTTGAAATCCGAGCATACTGGTGGGAAAGATGTCGAGAAGTGAATCATCGATTCCACAGAATACTGTTGGTTGGACCCAAAGGCAGTGGCAAGGATATACTAGTTAAAGTTTTAGCTTCTATTAATGGTAAGAGTAATGGAAATATCTACATTCATAATTAATTGTAACACAGATATATATGTAACGTTGTCGAATTGATACACCAATGTGACAATATATAGGAAACAGTCACATTAACAAATAATAATATTTACATCACAGAAATCCTATCCTACTAATATTATATGTGAACGTTTGAGAGAATGTATGAATGTATGTTTGTCATTCTTTGACTCAAAACGTCACAACCGATTTGGTTGAAATTGGTGCGTAGATAGGTTGGATATATTCACACGTAGGCTGCTTTTTATCAATATACCACGCAGGCAAAGCCGCGGTCGGAAGCTGGTGTTTAATCAGAAGCACGTAGCTGCTTTTTTTAAGATAGGTTAAAGAAGAAAATTTCAATATTATTGGGTTTTGCAGATGCAATCCTTTTTGAACTAGATCCTTATAAAGTGCAGGGAAGTTTGCAGTCAACGGTCTACCTAAAAAAACTGGCTAGAAGGATCGTTTCTTGTACTAGAGTCTTACAGCCTTGCGTCATTCATATCAAAAATGTCGAGAAACTGTTCTATAAAAAGGTAATTTAGAAAATTTTAATAACGGTAGTGTAGTCCTCAGACAGGGTCAATCAGTAAAACAAATTTAAGTTCAACAAATCAAAAGTTTTTGTAATATTCTAATTAGTTTACAGAAAACCGACGTGAAATAACCACTGCGTTGTGTTTCGCCGTGTGAGTGAGGTTACCGGAGGCCCAATCCTTCCCCTTCCCCAATCCCTCCTCAATCCCTATATCTCCAAATCCCTAATCCCTGAAAGGTCGGCAACGCACTCGTAACTCCACCGTTGCGAGTGTCCATGGGCGGCGCTGATTGCTTACCATCAGGTAATCCGTCTGCTCGTTTGCCGACCTATTACATAAAAAAAAAAAAAAAAAAAAGTTTGTCCTAAAAGGGTATGAAAGCTCTTTCATATTACTATTAGCTCCTTTTTATTTATTTATTAATGTTCCCCATACTAGTATTTTCTCCTGTGTCGTGGGTGCGGTTACAAACATACAATTTCACATGCACATGATACCCAGACCCGGAACAACAATTAGTGGATCACACAAAGAGTTGTTCCGTGCGGGAATCGAACTCGCGACACGTTGCACGGCCGCCAGTTGCCCAGCCACCGCAACAACCGTGCAGTCGTATTTGTATGTAGTAACAAACAATTTCTTTTTGCAAAAATTATTTTTAACAAATAATTTCATCATTGCAAAGTTAAAGGTAAACCACTAAGGGGTATTAAATAACCAGTTGCCAATTCTCAAACCGAATAAGAGTAAGGTAACTAACATTGTGGCACGAAATTTTATATTTACGATATTAAAAAGATAGATGTGTTTCTATTACAGTCAGCACCTGAAGACGCAGACATGAATTTTTACATCATAAAGAAGTACTTTGTGCATTACTTGTCAAAGCATATTAACAAGAATAACAACATAACTATTGTAGGTAATATGAATATTATCTTGGTGATTTTAATTATTCGTATTCACTAGCATGACATCGTCAAGTTTTTGAAGCATAATTAGACGATATTAAGACAATACTGTGAGAATTGTAAATGACTTGCCGTGTCAGCGTCGGAGTTTTTTTTACGTGATAGAGGTCGGCAAACGAGCTGAAGGATTACCGAATGGTAGCTATTAGTGCCGCCCATGGACATACGCAACTACGGAGGAGTGTGTTGCCGACCTTTTGGGGATTAGGGATTTGGATATTAGGGGAGGGGAAGGATTGGGCCTCTGGTAACCACTCACACGGCGAAACGCTGTGGTTGTTTCACGCCGGTTTTCTGTGAGGCCTACCATGGCTGGTCGAGCCGACCCATTCGTGCCGAAGCTTGACTCTCCTCCACTTCGGAGTTGGGTTACTGGTTGCCATGTCATGAGACCAAAACGGCTGCAAACAAGTATTAACCTTCTCCACAAATAGATCCTCAAAGCAACGTATTATTGTTATTACAAAGCGACCTTGTTTAGAGCGTATTGCCAGTTGTTTTACTCATGCAGCTTGTAAGTGAAGTATACACAGAAGACTAGTAACGCTCTGCGTGTTCAATATAATAATACGCTGAGGATGCTGTTGGGGTTTCGATGACTTCCAGATTAGATGACTTATATGCCAGTTTACACAAGCGATATCCTATCATGATGCGGCAATTCAGGGACAGTCCTAACAGTATACTAGCTATAGGTACTTATGGACGAAATTGATGGACCGTTTATTAGACACTGGGCAAGTAGATATGTGAGTCCTGATGTCCATGTCAATAAGTGATAAATATTAACTACTGTTTCCTACTAACATAAGGAATTATTACTACATCTGAAACAAAGAATTTAATTTTATTACATTAAACATTATAAATGAAAGTTGTGGTGGAAAGGAATGTCGTGGTGGCCTGGAGGTTAAGGAGCCCGCTTCTCATGCATGAGGGTGTGGGTTCGAAACCATTGCATAGCATTGAGCATGCGTGGTGATTAATGCTCAAACCTTCTCCGTGTGAGAAGAGACCTTTGCTCAGCAGTGGGCACTTATAGGCTGATGATGATGATGATGATGATGATGAAATGAAAGTTCTTAAGACCTTAACTAACCTTTCTTATCCAGGTAGTTGTGCTAACCCTTGGTCGGCCAAAAGCAAAGCTATGTTGAAGTCGTTTCCTACAGTTTTGCTTCTACCAAACAATACGTACTCAACGGTCGTGCAGATATTGAAGGATTGGGTGGTCAAGTTAGTAAATTCTGGATTCTGTTAGTAGTGTTAAAAAATATTTAATCCCAGCATATTAGAAAAGAAATTTCTGTTACTGCCTTTATTATTCCCGAGTGTAAAATCTGCATCGTAAAAACCCACTACGGATTTCTAGGGACTGAAACTAGACCTGAAACTTTAAAACTAAGACACCATGGGTAGAAGTTATATCAAACCTATTTTATGTCTTGTTTTATTTTTAAGTCTTTTAATTTTTATTTGTATCATTTAGTTTAGATTTTTAGTAATATTTTATTTTCTTCTTTTTTTTGTATTTTTGTTTTGTTTTGTGTGTGTGCGCTTGCGCGAAAATAAATGTTTTTCTTTCTTTCTTTCTTTCTTTCTTATATAAAGGAAACTTAGTTCATGATGGTAGTGGACTGTTACGAGGATCCGATTGATTTGATTACTTATGGATCGGCAACGAAGACGGATCACCGGGTAGTAAGCAATCGGTGTCGAGCGAGAATACCTGTAACACCATGAGCTAGAAGTGCGTTTCCAGATTTTTGGAGGTAAGGGATCTTAGGATTATCATTTGGTTAGTGGGGAGATAGGACTTCTGATAAATTCACTCACACAACATCGTGGTTGTTACACGCTGGATCTCCGGGACGAGTTCACTCCAGTCGAGCCAGCCCATTCGTGCTGGAGCAAAGCTCTCCCACGCGTAATTGATGCTGATTTCTTCTTAACTTCCAGGTATGAAGTGTTACCATCAAACTTCAACGTGACCAACCTGGCTTATGTCTTGCAAGGATACAGCTTCGGGTATGTGAAAGAAGCTCTGGAGAGATTCATGTCCGCTGACAGAATTATCAAGTAAGTAGGTTTTACGTCGAGGCTCAAACTAGACACTAATATTTATTTATTTTACTTAACACAAAAGCAAAGCTGTACTAACGGACGTAATTCTTTAGGCATTATTTCTTACCAATATTTATTAGTCCTTCTATGGTTTTCATTATACTGACATATAGAAATACATTCTCATCGCTTCTTCTGATCTTATCTCCTATTTCCACTATCAACAATAATTCTATGGTAAGCGAGGGCTGTCCTGTCCGCGATAGTCGCAGTCGCAACCATGTCATTCAGATTAAAGTTGTCTTAAATGCGTCTGCGCAAATTACCAAACCCTGTAGTCCCGTGATTAATAAAGTCAGTACAGAATAATTGTTATTAATAATAGTAGAACAGAACGGTCAAAGAGTAAATTAACTAATTATATACAAGAACATAAATCATTCTAATAAAATTTGTAAGTCACTCGAAGGTTTTCTTAGTAGGTATAATGTGAATATTAATAAAAACTATTTTTTTTTATTATTTTTAAATTAGACAAAAATATAAAATGTTTTCAAGAGCAGTGTGAGCGTCGCAAAGACTTGACATGAAACTAGTAGGGCTTTACTCAGTTGATTGACGTGAGTAAGTCGGTATTTGCAATAAATTTTGCATGTTTCACGATAGTTACTACACATTTATCTGCTTTATTGATTTCAGAATAGCTGCTTATGGAATCACTCCTATGGAAGTCTATGATTACATATTGAACGATGAAAATGCTGCCAAAGTTGTAAGTCGGATATTTTATTAATTAAAATTAGAAATAGATAGAGACAACATATTTTACGTAGATATTTATGTTACTATGTAGACTGTACTTACGCACTAACTAATTGTGACTGCACGGATGGCGCAGCGGCTGGGCAATTGGCTTAAGTGCAACGTGTCGTGGGTTCGATTCCCGAATATGGTATTTATGTGTTATTGTGTGTTTGTAAAAGCACCCACACTCAGGAGAAAATCCTAGTTTGGGGCGTTTTATACAAACAATAAAAAGAAAACAAAAGAAAAATCCCGACTTACGGTAAATCCTAAGAATTTTCCCCGAAACCTAAAATTTACCTGGTCTGAATGGTAAAATAAAATAAACAGTTCTGTGAAAAAAAATACTTTAGAATTTACACTGAAGATTGAATAACAGGGTAATGCGACCCAACAGGTCGATCAGTTAGAATTACTTAGGTTATTTCAAAGTGAGAGGATAGAACTGAATAACCGTTTGAATTCCCATTATATTATTCTTCTTTATGCGTTTGAATGTCGGTATATAAGACACCATAGAAATGATATTGTGTATCGTGCGGATACACGTCTAAAACACACGAAAGGTCAAATTGTAATGGTCAACGTCCATTAAAATGCCTCGTTTTTTAATTAATTTTATATCTAAACTTACTCATAGGTTTTAATGGAACAGCTCACAGATACATTATGTAGAAATTTGAACAAATATATATTTACTTTAATTAAATTTTGTTCAGGAATACGATAAATACCTGAAATGGTACCACGAACAAACGGCTCCCGGTATGAAAGAGGTGAAACACTTGCAAGAACAGTTAAACTTCAGGGCTGCTTTCGAAAAATATGTTTTGAAGATTAACCCATTCTTGACCGCTGTGCCAATTTGGGTACAGTTAGTTAATGAGGGTAGGTGAAAAAAGTATTGAAGTTAGTCAGTATAACTTTTGCATAAAGAATAGTCGAAAGTACTCTGAATAAATATAATATTAATCTATTCCACGTAATTGAAGTGTTCTTGCATAAAATTTAATAAAAACACGTTATCAAAAGACTTGTAGAGGTAAGTACTTGTTTGTAATATTTATTGTTATACCCAATATACATTTCCATATAAATAGTGATACATCTTTATAAACAATAAATAACAAAGTGTATAAACAGATTTTTGGTTGACAAAACTATATACATAGGTCATTATCACATATAAAATATTGGTGTGCCAATTTGGGTACAACGGCTACAAGTGTATTACTATTTGCAGATTATCAAGATGAACCACAAAAGACGTTATAGCGCCAGTAACCAATACCGTGGTTTAGAAGAGGCCCTAAATAATATACTCGAAGATAGTGATGATGGTTTGGAGTACGACTTGGCCATAATTCCACCTGAACCAAGTGTTGTTACCGACAAAGAGGAGGGTTTTGATGATGAAACTATTGCAAACAACTTGCCAGGTGATGTTCCAGGAGAAATCGAGGTGTTTGTGCAAAATATTGGCACTCTTTCGGATTCTGAGGACGACAGCGACAATGAACCATTGGCTGCAAAACGAACTCGGAAAAACAATACACAACGTTCCAATGAATCAAGTGATGCACAAAATCGATCGGCTTTGAATGTTCCGACTTGGCGTAAGTGTACTCCAAATTATTCTGAAATATACGCAGAATCCGACGACCGTTTGTGCAATGAAAATCGCATGAAAGAAGAAGTGAAAGATTTGACACCAGTACAAATATGTGAAAATTTTTTTGATTATGAGTTGTTTACAATGATTGTGGACTTTAGTCAGCAGTACGCGAGTCAAAACAATAGACACAATTATTCCGTTACTATTGCTGAGCTAAAGGTATTTTTTTGGATTTTGTTAGTTTGTGGTGTTCAGAAAGCAAACAAAAGTTGGATATGAAAATACCCCACTTGTTCCAAAATTACAACAAGGGCATGGGGGGCGTGGATGAAATGGACCAGTCGATATCATTATATAGGATTGGCATTCATGGCAAAAAATGGTGATGGGTTTTGTTTACCTACATGATTGATATGGCCATATCTAATGCATGGCGCTTCCATGTAATTTCAAGAAAAGGTGACGTCATAGATCAGCTACTATTTCGACGAAATATTGCAATTTGGTTTTACCTAAAACAAGCTTCACAAAAACTAACTGCTCGCCCTTCTTCATCAAACATCGATGGTTTACCACTAGATGGTGCTGACCATGTACCTGAAAAGCTACCTAAACGGGTACGTTGTGTTGTCTGCCACAATAGAAGCCGCTGGGGTTGTAAAAAGTGCAAGAAAACACTCTGCATTGAAAAATCTTGTTTTACCAAATTTCATTCATAAATGGCCACTGTGCCAATTTGGGTACACGCCTGTAATTTCTGAAAAAACTTCTTTCAATTATTTTTTTCCTCTTTTTATGTTTGGTTGTATTCCTTATATTAAGAAAATAAAGATTTTGCTTCATTAACATTGTTCATTTTTATTTGGCCGTAAATGGGTTAAAAATAAGGCTAAATCAGCGCCCAGCAATGCCACGATTGACACGGAAACGACTAAGTAATTTCATGGAAACGCTTTATATTGTATAATAAAATAAATTGAAAGAATTCAGACAATGCACTTTTCTGCTTCTGTTTTTATAAGTAGCCTATAAACTAGTTCGTAGTAAAACTTACTACGACGTAACTGTTGTCGCTACGCGTGCTACGGCTTCGTAGCATTTTGCTACACGTCTTGTTACTACGCTTATGTTAGAACGTTTGTTACAGAAAAGTTAACAGATTTTTTTTGGAATTTGTATGATTGTTATCAATTGTACTGTTTGTAACAATAGGTTGAAAATTGCAAACATATCTGCAACGTCAAAAACCATAACACATAATAACACGTTTTCACGTAGCTATACCGAGCGCTCCAATCATAGATATCTTCCACATCCACATTCAAATCACCATAAAATCCGCGATACGCTCACCACACACATTCATAACATAACGTAAAATTAAAAACATCACTAAGCCAGCAATTTAGCGTAAAATAAACACGATTTTTATTCTGCGTTGCAAAGATAAGGGAGAGAGGCAAATAGAGGGCCCGTGTCGATATAAAGGGGCTGATGTTTATCTTAACATAACGTGTTCGAACGAACGCTGACGTCGCGGATTTTATTTCTTTATTGCACAAAAATGCTAACTTTCACTCGCTGGGTAGGGTGGCCGCGTTCAAGCACTTCGAGGGGATTTTGTAGAAACATGCTCCAGTTAGATATTGAAAAAATAAGCTCGTGGGTTTAGCTATTATTTGTAACTGTAGCTTATATAACGTTGATAATCATTTACCATTAATAATTATCGTTACATAATACTCGGGCTCCGCTTGGGGCTTCGCACGTCTGGTTTGTTAATAAAAAGTAGCCAATGTGTTAATACATCACCTATAACAAATTTCAACGAAATATTTTCAGCCATTTTTGCGTAAAAGAATCACAAACCTTCACATTTACAATATTCGTGGAAATATAACGCTAAAAAGTTTGTTTATTTAAACACGCTGATCACAGGTATTACTAATTACTTTTGTGCTAATTAGATAGCAATTATTTTTGTGTACAAATATTTATTTTATTCAATAACAATGAATAATATAACTATAATACAATCAATACAAAGTTCTTGTTTGTTTGATGTTTAATTCCTTTTTTGTAATCATCTTACATTTTCGGTTTATTGTGTAACTATATGAGAACATTAAATATAAATTTTACATATAATTAGGTCGAAGTCACGGGATTCTTAAACTGAAAAAATCTAAATTTTCTTATTGTTGGAACGTGGGTTCACAGAACAGAATTATTTCATATCAGAAACATCCCATGGTCACTCTACAGTCCACCCTTTTAATATTCAAGCGGTGTATTTGGAATTAATTTCAGTCGTTTAAATATTTTCTGGGGCGAGCACATTGTCCAGTAATTATTGTTTGAATACCACTTCTAGTTAAATACTGTTTGCTCTCGAATTTTCGCCTACTTTTTATACACGTTTCATTTAATTTTCTAAGCAAAAAATACTAACAGATTTTTCAAGGTTTTCGTAGCTTTTGAAGATATAAATCACGATATATGTATGTAAGTATTTTGTAAAACGCTCCGCAGGTATTAACTGATATATTTTTTTTCTATCTGTGTGCATAAAAATATATACATAATCCCTCGTCGTGTTCCTACATTCACCAACGAGATGATGTTTATGGGAACCAGTTTTTTGTCACCCATTGATGCATCGGCTGTGTTTTCTGACAAAACATCAGTAAGGCAGAAGAATAAATCTGTCAATAAAACGCGCTTTAACTAATCTAGGAAAAATAATAAAATGTGTATATAATATTATACGATTCATGTTCAAATTCAAATTAAAATTCAAATGTTTATTGCATTCAATAATGTTACATTAGGTGTTATTATATGTGTATCAGTATTAAGATCATTATGTTACTATCTACTAGATATATATATGTCAATTAGTGTTACTACAGTAAATAAAATTACCGATTAAGAATCAATGAAAATTTTATTCCATCAAATGAATTAAACAGTTTAAAACAAGTTAATCACAATTTTATCAGTCTTTTTAGTTTCTAAAAAGTTCAAGCTAACCTTGAACATACTAAAAATATCATTTTACATTTGGCAATTTTAGCATAATAGTAAGAAAGATATCAGTTGATTTAAAATTAATACAAACAATATCTTTGTCATTGTAATATGACCGAATTATTATTTTTATTTAGGCAGTATGTATGTACCTAATTATAAAGTATTAGACATAATATTGCAACTTTTTCATACGGCAAACGAGCAAAAAGATAACCGGATCATCAGTGTATATAGTCTATTCAACATTCAAAATAATACATATCCATTCATATAATTTTAAGTATTCATCAATATAATAATTCTATGTCCAAACAATTAGTAAGTTCACTTTTTAATCCAAAATATTTTTTTCGTAGAGAAAACAATACTTATTATTTTATTAGGGTATTATTATTATTTTTTTCTGTTGTTAACCCACTGCAGGATAAAGACTGTCTCTCCTGTACTTTATATATTTGAATAATTTATAGCTAACAAAAAACACTTTAATACTCAAAAGCTTCGTAGGATTCCTATTTACAATTATTTAAAACATACATTGATATTTCGGTTGTCTGTCCATGAATGATATATTAATATGCAATATTAGTTTCACACTGATTAGGAGTTTAGATTAATATTACATTCTCATTAACACATATTTGAATGCGAAATGTTCAAATATTTTTTTTGTGTTAATCCTAGAAGCTTTTGATTACAAACTCCTTATATTAACATTGTTGTTTTAACATTAACAATTGTCACTCAATGTGGACATGTATTTATTAAGCTCGAAGCATAACATCTTTATCAATTTTATTTGCACAATGTAACATTTTTACAGTCAATAGATCTCCAAATCTGTTTGCGTTAATTAAATAGTAAAGGTGTGCCGATTGGGATTTAGTCCGGCTGACAGCCGGCTAGTCAATATTAAAGGCACTGATTAGTCAATTATATTTCTTATTTCATTTAAAACTTCATGCACAACAAAAATTGTACATCAGGACTTAATGCATTGAGCTTTCTCTATCAGTTTAACTATTATAAAACGCTAGGTATTATTATTAGGGGTATATTTTGTGACCGGATCGTTAGGTGATTGAACCTTTGGAGAGATCAAGCATTGTCATACAAAGTGTCATTGCTACCTTTTACGCACTTTCCCTCTTGATGTCGATACAGCTGATTTCTTTAAGATTTTGTTTATTTATATTGATACTTTAAGGGCGAAAATAATTATACACTGTAACTAAATACATTACAACACCATACAACAATTTCAAAAATGTTATCACATATTAGACTGTATTGGCTCAGCTACACAGCTACGCCAAGAAAATAGTAGATCGTGGAACATCTAAAAGAATATTTGGATCAACCAACAGAGTAACGATGGCTTAAGTAGTTATGTCAATATAAATCTCATAATCCATTGACCACTTTTATTTACTTTTATTTATTTATTTACTTTATTTAAGAGAAAGCTTTCAGACTTATAACAAAAATTAATACTTTATTTTATGGTAGCGGACAATTGCTAATTAAAAGCTTCCACATATATTTTAGCAATCAGCAAATCTCAACTAGTGTTTGTTAAGTACATAAACAGAAAAAAAAAACAAACAAGAAAAGAAACATAATAATCTAAAATAAAAAATACAGAGCCAGGAGATTGTGACAGCATTGTGCCAAGCAGTTTGACATTAAAATTGAATTTATTGCCTTTCGTCACCAAAATAGTCCTTACTTAGGATATCTCCAATTTTACGTGCGCTAGTGTTAAATAAATCAATTTCCAAATGTGATGCTAAATTATTAAAGGCTTTTACAGAGCGTATGCAGAAGGCGTTACGTATGTAATTAGTAGAAGCAGTTGGTGCTTGTAGTAGTGGTCTTTTTCTCAGGTTATTTTGATTTGTTCGAATAAAAATTTTGGAAAGTAAATCAGGACAGTCAATAGAGCCATTTGCTATGTTCGCTAGAAAACCTTTTTGAACTTGTTGCACCATTCATCAGGTATGGCTTCTACCTGCAACAATTTATTGAAGAACAAAGCCAACCACACCCATCCGTCTACTCTTAATAACTTCCACACCTCAACTGGTATTCCATCTGGGCCAATGGCTTTACCATTTTTCATTCCATTCACTGCTACTCTGACTTACTCCATACTAACTATTCTCACTAACCCCACATTATGACCATTATTTAGCGAGAATGATGGCAAACATCGTGTGCACTAGGGTTCTCGTGTTATTTGTTAGTCTTAGACCCAAATTAATTCTAATAATGTCATGACCACCAGTAACCGGCTGTTACCATTATCACCTTCTAACTCACTGTGGTATAACTGCGATATATTGATTCTAAATGCTGAACAAAGACGCTCTGTGGCGGCCTTAACAAGTAAACTAACTAGAGTAGTTCAGATTGATGACAAAGATAAATGATGTTTTATAGAAAATAACGATTCGACGACGAAAGATTCAAATCACAACGGGACTCTTTATTTATGAGCATCGAAACTGACATTAAGATATTTACAATATTCTTTATAAATCATAATCCCGTAGGGATTAGAAACTAGTAGACCTTTTCTTAGTTAATTCACGTGAGTAAGACGTTATCTATACTAATATTATAAAGCTGAAGAATTTATTTATTTATGCTAATTTCAGGAACTATTAATTCAAATTGAAAAAATATTTTTGATTTTAATAGATCATTTATTGAGAAAGGCTTTATGCTATAAAACATCACGCTACGATCTGTAGGGGCCTAGTAGCGGATGAAACCGCACGAGAGTAGCTAGTCCAACTCTAAACTAATATTATAAATGCAAAAGTAGCTCTGTCTGCCTGTGTTTTCTTCACGCCTAAACTACGGTACAGACATATTTTGGAACTCGAGAAAGGACACATTACCAAAAATCTGCTGGAAGTAACTATTTCACGCGAGCAGAGTCGCGGTTAAAAGCTAGTTTTCAATCAATTTAGTATAGCTCACGATAATTACTATTCAAAGATAATGATGATGTGAATATATTGAGAAAAGCGCTACTAGTTTCGCGTCGCGCGGACGCGGCGACGTCGCGCACGCCGCTCATGAGGAAGAACCCCTCTGTGGTTCGAAACTAGTAGAGCTGTTCTCAATATTTACACGTGAGTAACCCGTGATTTTTAGTTAATTTAGTATGTCTCACGATACTTATTATAAAAATAATGATGATGCCGATTCGCACATTCTATGTAGCTGAGCCAACAGATTACATAATAAAGAACCATTTAATACTCCCTAATAATCTTGCACTGCGGGTTGCACTTGACGAAGCGATGCGGTTTGTTGGAGTTGGCCATGCGGTCGATGTCGAGGTGGGCGAGGTCGGGGCGGGCCTTCGCCCCCCGGCGCAGCGCGGGCAGGTCCTCCTGGCGGAGCACCCCGGCCGTCACGTAGCCCACGAGTCCCGGCACGTGCTCTGCTATCATCTTCTCGCGTTCCTTTGCTACTTCCTGTTGCCTGTCAGGAAAATCGACAATGTTAATTTAGCTAATCAATGTGAAACTTTACATTTACATATTTGACAAATATACAGCTACCGCATAAAAATCACAATTCAGATTTATGATTATAAAATATTAAATAAACATACCATCATCAGGATTTACGAGACGGCCTTTTAGAGATTAAGGTTGCGGAGATTTAGGGATTGAGGGAGGAGAAGAAGGTATGAGCTAACAGAGGCCCAATTTTTCTTCCTTTTACACGGCGAAACGCAACGCTGTGGTTGTTTCACGCCAATTTTCGGTGTGACCGTTGTATCACTTTTTTATGGAATAGGTCGGCAAACAAGCAGACGGATTACCTGATGGTAAGTTATCAGCGCCGCCCATGGACACCCGCAACGGAGGAGTAACGAGTGCGTTGCCGACCTTTTAGGGATTAGGGTTTTGGAGATTTAGGGATTTTGAGGGATCGGGGGATCGGAAGGATTGGTAACCTCACTCACACGGCGAAACACAACGCTGTGGTTTCACTCGAGGTGTGGTTTCGGTCGAGCCGACCCAGCCGTACTATATGCATGGCTCTCCCACACTTAAATTAGATGTAATACTGACCAATTATTATCATATTCCTTGACATGGACAGCTCGCTGTTCCTCCATCTCCATGTCTCGCTTCCTCCGCCTGGCGTTGGCTTCGATCTGCTTCAGCAGTTCCTGCGAGTAGAGTTTCCCTTTCTCTTTCTTCTTCCGTTGTTCTTCGCGCTCCTTCGCCAAATCCGCCGCGATTTTCTCTTCGCACTGAAATGGGTGATGAGAAATTGAAACAAGATCAGTATATTTCATTATAAATAGTTTTCTATGTTTTTATCGCAGTATATTGGATCAGTAATACATTCCCATGAAATAAGGAGGTAAGCTTATTAACTGAGCATTAATTCTACAACGAAATGACTTCTCCAGCTCAAGAAATCAAGCTAATTATGTTACTAACTGTCACAGACTTACGGCCACAGAAAACCGGCGTGAAAAAACCCCAGCGTTGTGATTCGTCGTGTGGGTGAGGTTATGTGAAGCCTGATCCTCTTCCTCCCTCAATTCCTGCCTAAACCCAAAATCTTCAAGTCCCTAATCAGCATAAAGGTGTGTAACGCACACGTAACTCCTCCGTTGTCGATTGCTATGCTGATTGCTTACCATCAGGCAAGACTCGAGTGCGTTGCCCACCTTTTGAGGACTAGATATTTGGAGATTTTGGGATTGGGAAGGCGAAGTATCGGGCCGTCGGTAACGTCACTCACACAGCGAAACACAACGTCCGGTCGAGCCGACCCATTCGTGGCGAAGCTTGACTCTCCCACACCATAGCGATACAGAAACCCGGTTTGTAGCTCCATCAAGAAGTAATATGTACATACCATCTTCCTGTAGTGAGCCTCTTGCAACTTAGAGTCCCGCGCGGCGCGGCGTCGCTCGTCCATCTGCTGCGTGAGCGCGCTGTACGTGTCGTGCCGGGCTCGCCGGGACTTGTCGCGCTCCGCTATATCGTCTTGGAAGTTCTTCTCTAAGTACTCTTGTTCTTGAAGGAGCTTTATTATATTCGTACGTTCCTGACGTGCTGCCTGCGAATATTAAAGTTAATGTAGTTTATAAAGTTTTGTTTGCACATTAAACACGTACTTATTGTACCTAATTATTATTGTACCTAATTATTGATGAGTTTTGTATTTCTAGATAAAAATTTATCCCAAAGTCAAAATCAATTATCCAATCTAATATTATAAATGCCAAAGTAACCCTGTCTCTCTGTCTGTCTTTTCTTCATGCATAAACCACTGAACTATTAAACCTATTTGTGTGAAATTTGGTAAAGACATAGATTGGAACTCGAGAAAGGACATAGGATGGTGTAAAATCTGCAGGAAGTCACTATTCTACACGAACAAAATCACAGGAAAAAGCTAGTTCCAACTAAACCATAAATAGGTACTTTTGAAACGTCAAAATAGAATAAGTACTGGTCTGTCAGTCTGTTCCTCAGTGAAGCTAGGTGCTTGTTCTAAGTGACCCATCCTAATTGTTACCCCAAAAAAAGATTAGTTGTCAATCCATCCCAGGTAAAATAAAAAATAATAATAAATGCAACTAGATTCTTACAAAAATTTAAATTAATATTTCTAGAATATTATACCTCATCAGCCAATATTTTCGCAGACATTTTTTCTGTGAACTCTTCTTTCTTGCGCATTTTTTCTTCACGTGCTGCTAAACTGAAACCAGTATGAACACCTCGATCAATCTTAGCAATAAACTTAATTCATTATTGTTTAGAATGATGAACAAATGAATTAAGGTAACTAGGTAAGTCCCCACCCACTCTTAGGGTTCGTCCACAGCTGGCCGCGAGGTGCGCGCGTGAATTTTTGTTCGTGCGCCGCTCCTGCGCCGCCCGCGCGCTGTTCGCGATAAGCGCGCGGGCGGCGCGCTAGTTATTAAATAATTCATAACTTACCCGCTCAGTTCGTTTCTGATTACTGGAGGCTAAGTGCGTGTTGTCATGGAGTGGACAGAGGAGAATTGTTTACGCTTAATTGAAACGAATAAAAGATATCCAGTGTTATGGGATCCTAAAGATAAATATTACTATAGAAAAAATCTAAAATATAGGCGCGAACTGAGTGCGTGCAGATCGTGCGCGGCTCGCGCACTCTATACGAGCCTTGCATGAGTTGCGCTAAAGAGGCGCACCAAACCATTGCAGTGATGCAGCGGGCAGGTCGCAGTCGGCTCGCGCACTCTATACGAGCCTTGCATGAGTTGCGCTAAAGAGGCGCACCAAACCATTGCAGTGATGCAGCGGGCAGGTCGCAGTCGGCTCGCGCACTCTATACGAGCCTTGCATGAGTTGCGCTAAAGAGGCGCACCAAACCATTGCAGTGATGCAGCGGGCAGGTCGCAGTCGGCTCGCGCACTCTATACGAGCCTTGCATGAGTTGCGCTAAAGAGGCGCACCAAACCATTGCAGTGATGCAGCGGGCAGGTCGCAGTCGGCTCGCGCACTCTATACGAGCCTTGCATGAGTTGCGCTAAAGAGGCGCACCAAACCATTGCAGTGATGCAGCGGGCAGGTCGCAGTCGGCTCGCGCACTCTATACGAGCCTTGCATGAGTTGCGCTAAAGAGGCGCACCAAACCATTGCAGTGATGCAGCGGGCAGGTCGCAGTCGGCTCGCGCACTCTATACGAGCCTTGCATGAGTTGCGCTAAAGAGGCGCACCAAACCATTGCAGTGATGCAGCGGGCAGGTCGCAGTCGGCTCGCGCACTCTATACGAGCCTTGCATGAGTTGCGCTAAAGAGGCGCACCAAACCATTGCAGTGATGCAGCGGGCAGGTCGCAGTCGGCTCGCGCACTCTATACGAGCCTTGCATGAGTTGCGCTAAAGAGGCGCACCAAACCATTGCAGTGATGCAGCGGGCAGGTCGCAGTCGGCTCGCGCACTCTATACGAGCCTTGCATGAGTTGCGCTAAAGAGGCGCACCAAACCATTGCAGTGATGCAGCGGGCAGGTCGCAGTCGGCTCGCGCACTCTATACGAGCCTTGCATGAGTTGCGCTAAAGAGGCGCACCAAACCATTGCAGTGATGCAGCGGGCAGGTCGCAGTCGGCTCGCGCACTCTATACGAGCCTTGCATGAGTTGCGCTAAAGAGGCGCACCAAACCATTGCAGTGATGCAGCGGGCAGGTCGCAGTCGGCTCGCGCACTCTATACGAGCCTTGCATGAGTTGCGCTAAAGAGGCGCACCAAACCATTGCAGTGATGCAGCGGGCAGGTCGCAGTCGGCTCGCGCACTCTATACGAGCCTTGCATGAGTTGCGCTAAAGAGGCGCACCAAACCATTGCAGTGATGCAGCGGGCAGGTCGCAGTCGGCTCGCGCACTCTATACGAGCCTTGCATGAGTTGCGCTAAAGAGGCGCACCAAACCATTGCAGTGATGCAGCGGGCAGGTCGCAGTCGGCTCGCGCACTCTATACGAGCCTTGCATGAGTTGCGCTAAAGAGGCGCACCAAACCATTGCAGTGATGCAGCGGGCAGGTCGCAGTCGGCTCGCGCACTCTATACGAGCCTTGCATGAGTTGCGCTAAAGAGGCGCACCAAACCATTGCAGTGATGCAGCGGGCAGGTCGCAGTCGGCTCGCGCACTCTATACGAGCCTTGCATGAGTTGCGCTAAAGAGGCGCACCAAACCATTGCAGTGATGCAGCGGGCAGGTCGCAGTCGGCTCGCGCACTCTATACGAGCCTTGCATGAGTTGCGCTAAAGAGGCGCACCAAACCATTGCAGTGATGCAGCGGGCAGGTCGCAGTCGGCTCGCGCACTCTATACGAGCCTTGCATGAGTTGCGCTAAAGAGGCGCACCAAACCATTGCAGTGATGCAGCGGGCAGGTCGCAGTCGGCTCGCGCACTCTATACGAGCCTTGCATGAGTTGCGCTAAAGAGGCGCACCAAACCATTGCAGTGATGCAGCGGGCAGGTCGCAGTCGGCTCGCGCACTCTATACGAGCCTTGCATGAGTTGCGCTAAAGAGGCGCACCAAACCATTGCAGTGATGCAGCGGGCAGGTCGCAGTCGGCTCGCGCACTCTATACGAGCCTTGCATGAGTTGCGCTAAAGAGGCGCACCAAACCATTGCAGTGATGCAGCGGGCAGGTCGCAGTCGGCTCGCGCACTCTATACGAGCCTTGCATGAGTTGCGCTAAAGAGGCGCACCAAACCATTGCAGTGATGCAGCGGGCAGGTCGCAGTCGGCTCGCGCACTCTATACGAGCCTTGCATGAGTTGCGCTAAAGAGGCGCACCAAACCATTGCAGTGATGCAGCGGGCAGGTCGCAGTCGGCTCGCGCACTCTATACGAGCCTTGCATGAGTTGCGCTAAAGAGGCGCACCAAACCATTGCAGTGATGCAGCGGGCAGGTCGCAGTCGGCTCGCGCACTCTATACGAGCCTTGCATGAGTTGCGCTAAAGAGGCGCACCAAACCATTGCAGTGATGCAGCGGGCAGGTCGCAGTCGGCTCGCGCACTCTATACGAGCCTTGCATGAGTTGCGCTAAAGAGGCGCACCAAACCATTGCAGTGATGCAGCGGGCAGGTCGCAGTCGGCTCGCGCACTCTATACGAGCCTTGCATGAGTTGCGCTAAAGAGGCGCACCAAACCATTGCAGTGATGCAGCGGGCAGGTCGCAGTCGGCTCGCGCACTCTATACGAGCCTTGCATGAGTTGCGCTAAAGAGGCGCACCAAACCATTGCAGTGATGCAGCGGGCAGGTCGCAGTCGGCTCGCGCACTCTATACGAGCCTTGCATGAGTTGCGCTAAAGAGGCGCACCAAACCATTGCAGTGATGCAGCGGGCAGGTCGCAGTCGGCTCGCGCACTCTATACGAGCCTTGCATGAGTTGCGCTAAAGAGGCGCACCAAACCATTGCAGTGATGCAGCGGGCAGGTCGCAGTCGGCTCGCGCACTCTATACGAGCCTTGCATGAGTTGCGCTAAAGAGGCGCACCAAACCATTGCAGTGATGCAGCGGGCAGGTCGCAGTCGGCTCGCGCACTCTATACGAGCCTTGCATGAGTTGCGCTAAAGAGGCGCACCAAACCATTGCAGTGATGCAGCGGGCAGGTCGCAGTCGGCTCGCGCACTCTATACGAGCCTTGCATGAGTTGCGCTAAAGAGGCGCACCAAACCATTGCAGTGATGCAGCGGGCAGGTCGCAGTCGGCTCGCGCACTCTATACGAGCCTTGCATGAGTTGCGCTAAAGAGGCGCACCAAACCATTGCAGTGATGCAGCGGGCAGGTCGCAGTCGGCTCGCGCACTCTATACGAGCCTTGCATGAGTTGCGCTAAAGAGGCGCACCAAACCATTGCAGTGATGCAGCGGGCAGGTCGCAGTCGGCTCGCGCACTCTATACGAGCCTTGCATGAGTTGCGCTAAAGAGGCGCACCAAACCATTGCAGTGATGCAGCGGGCAGGTCGCAGTCGGCTCGCGCACTCTATACGAGCCTTGCATGAGTTGCGCTAAAGAGGCGCACCAAACCATTGCAGTGATGCAGCGGGCAGGTCGCAGTCGGCTCGCGCACTCTATACGAGCCTTGCATGAGTTGCGCTAAAGAGGCGCACCAAACCATTGCAGTGATGCAGCGGGCAGGTCGCAGTCGGCTCGCGCACTCTATACGAGCCTTGCATGAGTTGCGCTAAAGAGGCGCACCAAACCATTGCAGTGATGCAGCGGGCAGGTCGCAGTCGGCTCGCGCACTCTATACGAGCCTTGCATGAGTTGCGCTAAAGAGGCGCACCAAACCATTGCAGTGATGCAGCGGGCAGGTCGCAGTCGGCTCGCGCACTCTATACGAGCCTTGCATGAGTTGCGCTAAAGAGGCGCACCAAACCATTGCAGTGATGCAGCGGGCAGGTCGCAGTCGGCTCGCGCACTCTATACGAGCCTTGCATGAGTTGCGCTAAAGAGGCGCACCAAACCATTGCAGTGATGCAGCGGGCAGGTCGCAGTCGGCTCGCGCACTCTATACGAGCCTTGCATGAGTTGCGCTAAAGAGGCGCACCAAACCATTGCAGTGATGCAGCGGGCAGGTCGCAGTCGGCTCGCGCACTCTATACGAGCCTTGCATGAGTTGCGCTAAAGAGGCGCACCAAACCATTGCAGTGATGCAGCGGGCAGGTCGCAGTCGGCTCGCGCACTCTATACGAGCCTTGCATGAGTTGCGCTAAAGAGGCGCACCAAACCATTGCAGTGATGCAGCGGGCAGGTCGCAGTCGGCTCGCGCACTCTATACGAGCCTTGCATGAGTTGCGCTAAAGAGGCGCACCAAACCATTGCAGTGATGCAGCGGGCAGGTCGCAGTCGGCTCGCGCACTCTATACGAGCCTTGCATGAGTTGCGCTAAAGAGGCGCACCAAACCATTGCAGTGATGCAGCGGGCAGGTCGCAGTCGGCTCGCGCACTCTATACGAGCCTTGCATGAGTTGCGCTAAAGAGGCGCACCAAACCATTGCAGTGATGCAGCGGGCAGGTCGCAGTCGGCTCGCGCACTCTATACGAGCCTTGCATGAGTTGCGCTAAAGAGGCGCACCAAACCATTGCAGTGATGCAGCGGGCAGGTCGCAGTCGGCTCGCGCACTCTATACGAGCCTTGCATGAGTTGCGCTAAAGAGGCGCACCAAACCATTGCAGTGATGCAGCGGGCAGGTCGCAGTCGGCTCGCGCACTCTATACGAGCCTTGCATGAGTTGCGCTAAAGAGGCGCACCAAACCATTGCAGTGATGCAGCGGGCAGGTCGCAGTCGGCTCGCGCACTCTATACGAGCCTTGCATGAGTTGCGCTAAAGAGGCGCACCAAACCATTGCAGTGATGCAGCGGGCAGGTCGCAGTCGGCTCGCGCACTCTATACGAGCCTTGCATGAGTTGCGCTAAAGAGGCGCACCAAACCATTGCAGTGATGCAGCGGGCAGGTCGCAGTCGGCTCGCGCACTCTATACGAGCCTTGCATGAGTTGCGCTAAAGAGGCGCACCAAACCATTGCAGTGATGCAGCGGGCAGGTCGCAGTCGGCTCGCGCACTCTATACGAGCCTTGCATGAGTTGCGCTAAAGAGGCGCACCAAACCATTGCAGTGATGCAGCGGGCAGGTCGCAGTCGGCTCGCGCACTCTATACGAGCCTTGCATGAGTTGCGCTAAAGAGGCGCACCAAACCATTGCAGTGATGCAGCGGGCAGGTCGCAGTCGGCTCGCGCACTCTATACGAGCCTTGCATGAGTTGCGCTAAAGAGGCGCACCAAACCATTGCAGTGATGCAGCGGGCAGGTCGCAGTCGGCTCGCGCACTCTATACGAGCCTTGCATGAGTTGCGCTAAAGAGGCGCACCAAACCATTGCAGTGATGCAGCGGGCAGGTCGCAGTCGGCTCGCGCACTCTATACGAGCCTTGCATGAGTTGCGCTAAAGAGGCGCACCAAACCATTGCAGTGATGCAGCGGGCAGGTCGCAGTCGGCTCGCGCACTCTATACGAGCCTTGCATGAGTTGCGCTAAAGAGGCGCACCAAACCATTGCAGTGATGCAGCGGGCAGGTCGCAGTCGGCTCGCGCACTCTATACGAGCCTTGCATGAGTTGCGCTAAAGAGGCGCACCAAACCATTGCAGTGATGCAGCGGGCAGGTCGCAGTCGGCTCGCGCACTCTATACGAGCCTTGCATGAGTTGCGCTAAAGAGGCGCACCAAACCATTGCAGTGATGCAGCGGGCAGGTCGCAGTCGGCTCGCGCACTCTATACGAGCCTTGCATGAGTTGCGCTAAAGAGGCGCACCAAACCATTGCAGTGATGCAGCGGGCAGGTCGCAGTCGGCTCGCGCACTCTATACGAGCCTTGCATGAGTTGCGCTAAAGAGGCGCACCAAACCATTGCAGTGATGCAGCGGGCAGGTCGCAGTCGGCTCGCGCACTCTATACGAGCCTTGCATGAGTTGCGCTAAAGAGGCGCACCAAACCATTGCAGTGATGCAGCGGGCAGGTCGCAGTCGGCTCGCGCACTCTATACGAGCCTTGCATGAGTTGCGCTAAAGAGGCGCACCAAACCATTGCAGTGATGCAGCGGGCAGGTCGCAGTCGGCTCGCGCACTCTATACGAGCCTTGCATGAGTTGCGCTAAAGAGGCGCACCAAACCATTGCAGTGATGCAGCGGGCAGGTCGCAGTCGGCTCGCGCACTCTATACGAGCCTTGCATGAGTTGCGCTAAAGAGGCGCACCAAACCATTGCAGTGATGCAGCGGGCAGGTCGCAGTCGGCTCGCGCACTCTATACGAGCCTTGCATGAGTTGCGCTAAAGAGGCGCACCAAACCATTGCAGTGATGCAGCGGGCAGGTCGCAGTCGGCTCGCGCACTCTATACGAGCCTTGCATGAGTTGCGCTAAAGAGGCGCACCAAACCATTGCAGTGATGCAGCGGGCAGGTCGCAGTCGGCTCGCGCACTCTATACGAGCCTTGCATGAGTTGCGCTAAAGAGGCGCACCAAACCATTGCAGTGATGCAGCGGGCAGGTCGCAGTCGGCTCGCGCACTCTATACGAGCCTTGCATGAGTTGCGCTAAAGAGGCGCACCAAACCATTGCAGTGATGCAGCGGGCAGGTCGCAGTCGGCTCGCGCACTCTATACGAGCCTTGCATGAGTTGCGCTAAAGAGGCGCACCAAACCATTGCAGTGATGCAGCGGGCAGGTCGCAGTCGGCTCGCGCACTCTATACGAGCCTTGCATGAGTTGCGCTAAAGAGGCGCACCAAACCATTGCAGTGATGCAGCGGGCAGGTCGCAGTCGGCTCGCGCACTCTATACGAGCCTTGCATGAGTTGCGCTAAAGAGGCGCACCAAACCATTGCAGTGATGCAGCGGGCAGGTCGCAGTCGGCTCGCGCACTCTATACGAGCCTTGCATGAGTTGCGCTAAAGAGGCGCACCAAACCATTGCAGTGATGCAGCGGGCAGGTCGCAGTCGGCTCGCGCACTCTATACGAGCCTTGCATGAGTTGCGCTAAAGAGGCGCACCAAACCATTGCAGTGATGCAGCGGGCAGGTCGCAGTCGGCTCGCGCACTCTATACGAGCCTTGCATGAGTTGCGCTAAAGAGGCGCACCAAACCATTGCAGTGATGCAGCGGGCAGGTCGCAGTCGGCTCGCGCACTCTATACGAGCCTTGCATGAGTTGCGCTAAAGAGGCGCACCAAACCATTGCAGTGATGCAGCGGGCAGGTCGCAGTCGGCTCGCGCACTCTATACGAGCCTTGCATGAGTTGCGCTAAAGAGGCGCACCAAACCATTGCAGTGATGCAGCGGGCAGGTCGCAGTCGGCTCGCGCACTCTATACGAGCCTTGCATGAGTTGCGCTAAAGAGGCGCACCAAACCATTGCAGTGATGCAGCGGGCAGGTCGCAGTCGGCTCGCGCACTCTATACGAGCCTTGCATGAGTTGCGCTAAAGAGGCGCACCAAACCATTGCAGTGATGCAGCGGGCAGGTCGCAGTCGGCTCGCGCACTCTATACGAGCCTTGCATGAGTTGCGCTAAAGAGGCGCACCAAACCATTGCAGTGATGCAGCGGGCAGGTCGCAGTCGGCTCGCGAGCTGCGCATTCGCGGCACATTCGATTCGATTCAATTTGTGCACCACACAAAGTGTTGTTCCGTGCAGAAATCAAACCCGCGACACGTTGCACAGCAGCCAGATGCCCCTCTAGCCACTACGCCAACCGTGCAGTAGTCTAAATTACCAGTCATGCTATACATATATAACCCAACTCACACAGCAGAACTCCTGTCAGAGGCCATTTTGTTCTGCTCCTCAATATTCCGTTCCTCCTGGACGACCATCTCCTTCTGCTTCTGTTTCCAAGCTTCCCGAGCTTGAAGGAATGTCTTCATTTCATGACGCATCTTCTCCGTTATTGCTCGCTTCTGTTGCAGTTCTCTGAAAAATAATATTAATATACATAATTCATAGGCATACCGCCACCGTATGCTCCACCGAATTCTCTAGGTGGTCCTCACAATGACGACACTCGGGTAAATAAACAGGATGGAGTGGCTTGTTACAACTTACTGATTTTATAGCCAAAGTATGACTCTTTTTTCTATAAGTATATCTGTTTAGTTACATCAAACCAAAGTTTTCCAAAGATAATTCCCAAATCCCAGAAATTAGCATTCATTCCTACTTGATGAAATTGACCCAACATGTTTGTGAGACACAAGAAGTATGTTTCTTATCTTTAATATTATGTGTAGAAGTAACTATACTTTTAATTTAATGTTACTCAGCCATTGTATGCACGGATATTCAAAGACTATACTAACTTCATATCCTCATCAGAAATAGTGCGCATAATATCCTCAAGCATCTTCTTCTCAATCAAAGAGTCCTCATACTGACATTGTTTCTGCAGATGTCTGTTCACCAACTGTTGTTGTAACTCCTTACAGTATTGTGAAGTGCGCTCCATCTTCTCTTTTTGCTCCTGAGCCATAGCATCTTTGTCATCTGATAGAGATTTCAGCAGTATGTTGCTGGCTTGCATTTCTTCTGCCTGAAAGAATAAAATAGTTTTTTTTTATTTGCAATGTGCCAGCATTTGACCATTATCTTGTCTGGTGATATACAATCATGTGGCATATAAGGAAGTCTGCATGCCTACCCATATGCAACCTATTTGACTGGATGTTGAAGGCACCACCATAACTTTGGGGAATACAATGTTTCGATATAAAATACTGGTGATAAAATGGCATATTATGTATTACATATTAATGAGAAAATATAAAGATTTATTGTTTTCAAGTGTGTAATATTGTATAACATTATGTATGTTTTACAATATTATAGTTATAGGTATTATTATTAAATAATACAAGACAAACAATACAAGTATTTATTAAAAGCTACTCAAATCAAAATCAAAATACTTTTTAGGGTTTCTGCAAACAAGATCAAAAACATGTTATGTAATATAATTTTATTTACTAAGTAAAACAGCAAATTCAAAAATAATTGCAATGTTTTAGGTACCTTTTCCTGCAACCTTTTGTATTCATTGTTTAAAATTTGTAGCTGTAAATCCTTGCAGACATATCCAGCTTGCAGTTTCCGTGCAAGTTCCCTGAGGCTGGGGTCTCTTTCTCGCAAATAATGTCGTCGCAGCAGCTGACAAACTTCTTCATGGCGAATATTGGCTATTTCAATGCCCAGTTTAGTGTCTTTTTCAGCTCTAGCATTCACAATAGCTGCATGGTCCGTTCTCTAAGAACAATTGTGTTTAAATGTAAAATTTTATGGTGAATGATGAGAAAGGCACTCAAAAAAATACGATCCATGAACCTTACTAATCCAGGTTCGTTTAAGTACCATAAAAGTAGTACCTAAGTACTTACTTCTTTAAACTCCCTTTCCATTTCAGCCTCCCGCTGAATGAGTGCCAGGCAGCGGCCCATCCGACCATCTGCCATGCGGCTGTCCAACCATTTTAAGTCCAGGGCACGTTGGTATACATTCAACTCCTTACGACGAGCCTCCGTTAAGGCATTTCGCTGAAGCTCCGTTCGTGGTTCCTAAATACAAGTTATAATTTCAATAAGACGAATTAAATGTGGAAAGGATTGAAGACAAAATTTATAGTGGTCATGTAAATTCTACGCACCATGATTTTTTAGTAAAATATAGTCATATAATAAATCAAAACCAATAAATATTTCGATATAAACAAACCCTGACAAAATTCAAAATTGGAAATATTGAACTGTTATTGTCATTTGTCATTCTGACATCAGTCACAGATTGATATTTAAGTAAACTTTTTGTGGTTTTTATTTCGTTAAGAATACAAATTATAACTTTAATAAAACCGTTTAAAAACAACTCTTTTTACATAAGAATTTGTGAAACTAATATTTTTATCAAATTTTCAGGTATCGAGTAGTGAAAGTGTTTTAAAAGGTCTGTGGTAGAGCGCCATCTATTATTCCTACAACGGACTTAATGCGAGCCATAATACCAACGAGAACGAGGCGCTAGGGTGACAATTTTCTCTCATTCGCGGTAGTACAAAACGGCGACAACACGCATTTGGATTTTGACGTGTGACAGCAAACAGCTGCAGCCAGATTCGGTTGCAGATTGATAGTGTATCGAAATAAAGACGTTTTGGAATGAAACAGTGATTGAAATGGCTGAAAGTAAAGGTGCGTTGATCGCGAAAACAGTGCAAAAACATGCCGGACGTGCGAAGGAAAAGGTATTTATTGTTTTATTCACCTTACGTGGAAAGTGTGATGTTAGTAGGTGATGGTGAATTTTTTATGTATTTTGTCGCTGATGTGATGTGAAAGTATGTTTTTGAGAAGATCGGCGGCACGCCGGTACTGGTTTCTTGTGACTAGGCTGTCAGACGATTTCCTTGTGCATCGAATTTCACCTGTTGCTTGTCTGATAGGCGATCTGTGAAACACCTGTGTTTTTCCTAATATTTGTTTACGTACGTAGTAACTGCACACGTATCGCATTTACAGACAGTATCGTCGCAGCGCAGTGCAGTTTTATCATTTCCAGGGCATTTAATTTTCTATTTATAGTTCTGAGCAGTTGCGATAATTTTGGATTGGAACAGTTAGTTGAATAGAATACGACAAGTTCAGTCTCTGAACTGGTATAGCACTCGATTGGTGCACATTAATTTAATAAACCCATTTATTACACAAGACATTTCTGGGGAATTGGGACCGTTTTAAAAATAACACAGTTGGTTGGGAACGGACAGAGACAGCCGATCTGTCGTGCTGGTTTCGCAAAAATAATGTGGATAATTTCAACTCATCTATTTTTATGTGGACTGTCTAGCTGTGACTGTAGTTCTGTGAATAAGAAATGTAACTATTATGTGACTTCTATTTTTATACCTTAAGTATTTATTAATCTACATGCCATCATTACACATTTTTAATTTTACCCTACAAAGTAATTTACTACTAACCAATTCCTGTTCCTATCAGTCATTCTACAAAATAGACTCTTTAATATTTGCAGCATTTATAGGATGTTGAAGATTATAATTAGTTATCAATGTCTCAATAAATCAATTTGTTGTAAACACAACATTTTCTAAAACCACTTTCATTTTGCATAATTTGGTACATGAAGTTTTACCTAGTTACCTAGAAAAAACTTGATTCACTGACCATAGAGATAGTCGGTTAATGACCTAGTCTGGCAGATGGCCCAGCACAACTGACATAGTATTGCCAACAATTAGTATTTACTAAAGCATAGGAAATGTAGTGTTATAACCTCATGGGTATAGTTTATTGTTGACATTAAATTGGAAACACTTTCTTTTTTTAATCTAATAAGAAGACCACAAAGTTTAGAGAAATCAGTTCTGTAGTAAAACTGTTAATGCGTTCACATATTTTGGATAAATAAATAACCTGTTTAATTTTCAAGTTTAATAGTGTTGCCCTAGAATTTGGTCAAATATATATTTAAATTATACTACTGGGAATAAAGTAGGTTTACCCATAAAATAGATTTTAAAACATAGGTATTTAATGTGGTAATAAAAGTATTCAATAAAAACATCAAACATAATTATTGAAGTGTTGTTGAGTGATGTGTGTAATATGAGAATTATTGAATTTGACCTCATTTCATTTGATTATGCTTGTTAGGTACTTGTTGTAATTAAATCTGCAGTGACAATTAGTTTGCAAACACAACATGATGAGATAATAACAGTTATCTGCACTTAAATTACTAACATTGTCACACTAATCTTGGCCATAATTATAGACCTATTTAAATCAATAATAAATTAATAAGCATATTTTCATCCCCTTATTTGAATAAGAGTTTTCAAATAATTTGACGGGAATAATAGATAATGATATGAAAACACTAATGTTGGTGTTTTATTTTTACTTTTTTTTGTATTGTCGATGGTTACAGCTGTCAGCTGCATTTGGCGCCAAACGCTAAAAATAAATGTGGTGGGCCCCTCCCTGAAGAATTTATTTCTATTCAATGCAATACTTAACAAAATGCAGGTCATGGGCGCACGCCAGAAGTATATAAGACATTATAATAATTGTGATATTAACTATTTACAATCGAATAACCATAAACAAACCTCCACGCTTATCAATTGTTAGTCAATAACGGTAATTAGTCATCACACTCGCAAGTATGAGGTTCAATGAACTTATGTTTCGTGTTAAAAGCTGGTACTTATAGCACTAAACACAACTTGATTTACGTATGACTATTGATCTGACTAACGTAAAGCCCTATTGACATATCATTCATTTGAAAGGGTAATTCAACCCTTACTGGCGATAAATTACTGACCACTTTGTTTGATATGACCTCTTGGGTGTTCCTAATAAAAATCTTAACTGGATGTAGCTAGTGAAATGTGTTTGGAAAATCAAATTATTACCTTTATTTAATATTTAAAGTCAAGACACCTAAGTAGGTATATCTATTGCTTTTTAATTATCACATATATCGCTTCAAGCCTAACTTGGCGAAAGAGTGCTTCTGTATCACGACAATGCTTGAGTACGCTTGAATCACCGATGCCTGGATGAGAGACATCAAGTTGGCGTCCCAACGTTCCGTTGTTGAGATGAGCGTGCACTTTTTATTTCCATAGATAAAACTCTAAACTACTAATCAGTAGTCATCATACATTCATATCAACATCATTTTCCCCTAATAAAAGTTGAGTAATTTCCCAAATTTTTACTAAATTCCAACATATAAAAAAATATTCGGACACTCCAAAATGTCAAAAACCTGCCTATTTCCAATTAACCTTCTCTAAAATGTAACTTCCTAAAATTTGCCACGGCTGCCTTAGCTGTTTAACCGCTATAATAGCCATCGCCGTACAATATTCCCGATATATTTATCGGTAATTTACAAATTAACATCGAAACGCCAACCGCAGAACCACATAAAACACGTAAAACGTGACCCAAAGGTATTCGGCAATCTGGACATTTTACTATGAACCGGTTATGTTCTGCCCTTTAGTTCATTCTTGGCTTCACAAATACCAACGTACGCTTCGTGTGCGTATCAAGTTTCCTGTTCACATTCTTTTTTTTATAAGAATTTCGATATCAGTTGATTTCTATTGGACTTATTTTTTCCTAATTAAACGCATATTTTGTTAGTTTATCTTTTATAACTGATGGTCATATTTATTGATCTAGCCTGAGAAATCATTCAATCTTACAAAACATAAAACTGTACTTCTTTTCACAAAATCCTGTACGACGATGTTTCGACCGAGTTTATTTTCCCTTGCTTTCTCTTTTTAACCAAAAAAATCTGGCCCAACACCGCTTTTGAACCAATACTATGCTCAGTAGGGCACATGTCGTGATAACATACTGTTTATCCTCTTATTTCCTGCTGCGTGATTGCTAGTAATAATTAAAGCATATCGATCATGATATGTACGGTACTTATATAGATATCAGCTGAGTAATATCCGATTTATGTAGTTCTATAGGGTTTGCAAAAGAAATTTAAGGGTCAACAGTCTTTTAAAATAGACTAAAAGACAGATTTGCTGAAGAAAGGGCCAACTGTATCCCTAAATGTCAGCTAAATACTAAGATATTCAGTTTCCGACTAGGATACATCACTTGTATTATTATCATTTCCAGTGATATTGATTTTAGTTTAAACAATCGGGAAGTTTAAAATGTTTCATTAATAATTTTTAACAAACAAACAAATTTTTAGAAGTAAGTTATTAAGCTCAAATCTCCCGAGACCTGAAAGCAACCATGACGCAACCTTTAAATTCTTCTTTTTCTTCCCAGTCTACATGCTGTAATACGTTCTGATACATCGGACTACTCAAAGCTTTTTACAGTCCGACAAGCAAAAAGCATCTAGGCAGTCTGTCATTGACATGGACGCACAATGGGCGCGAAATTGGCAATCTTCATGTTATTCCAGACCGCTATACTAAAAAATCGAATAAAAATTGACGTCGGAGAAATTGGAAATAAAAGTAGTTGCTTTGGGATATTCAATTTATTTTAAAACTATTATCAATAACGTAAGCCTCACGTCTGTGACCCCGAGTGTGAACCAAGCAGCTTATGATTTCATCTAATTAATTGCTGTGCGTGCGCCGAACACGTTTGGGACGGATTGTTCTAAAACATCTGGAGTGTAAATAGGTTTGTTTGTTTTGTCACCTCTAAAATATCCTTTGATTTTGATACTGTAGTTTGAGTTGTTATGGGCTTAAAAAAGATACAAGGATATTATTACTACTGTTCACAATATATTTTTACCTCAGAGACATTGTTTACTTGTCTGAAGCAGTCATTTATCACGGCATAGTTCTCCATCTTAAGTTGGGGATGTATCCCACAACATCATCTGAATCGTTATGTTCACACAAGGCCAATCAAATCATGAGAAAGTTTCCGTGATCGTCATCTATTCACGCATTTCGCATGTGAACATCAGGTGGAAGTTGCGAGCCCTTTACTATTCCAATAACTTGAGACATATCATGCAAAATGATCTTTACTTCCTTTGTATCCTTACTGCGTTGACATAGAGCCTATATTGATGTATGCAACCAAGTAAACAAGTTTTGCAAAGGTCGATACGTGACAATGCTTAATGCTAACAGTTGGGTTAACTGTGAACTGTGCAGTCGTCATGGGAACGCGAGCCGACGCCCACAACTCATAGTTTTTATTGTCTTCTAGAGACATAAAGTATGTCTGTTGGAATTTAAATTAGTGAGAGTTTTTAAACTTACACGAAAGTTGTAGTAGTTATTGAAGAGACGATATTAGTGGGGTGGTCTTCCTTGACTTCAGTTATGGCACATATTGCCAAATATTCAACTTTGTTTTGTGTAATATTCTTTTGGTTTTAGAGTCAAAATTAACTCCAAAACCAAACCTCAAGAATGTATCTTGACACTCCAAGATATATTCCATTTCGTTTTCAACCGCAGCCAAATAACTTGTGATACGTTTGGACGGTTACCAAATAATATCATGTCGAAAGTGACCACTCTATTGCTTGTGTTCTAATATTTGTAATGCAAATCCACACCTAAACAGATTGTATATGGTCAATTTCAGCTTTGTCAAGATGGAACTTTCTATGCCCCCGATGCAGACGAGACGCGACTGTCAATCGTTGAACGAATACTTCACATATGGTAATTTCTCCACTTTAGACTGCAATTCATTC